GCTCGGCTTTCATTATCTACCAATCCGGTAGTCTAGAAAAAATCCGCCGATTTTTGCGGATCATTCAAACAAAAGTGGACACTTTCGTTGGGCCCGAGTAGTAATACTTTGCGTTGTCCAAATTGATGTTGGCATCTTCAATATATATATATTATTTTCGTCCAATGCCAGTAAAGTATGGAAAACAACTCCAAAAATAGGAGTGATAGAGCTTCCGTTGTATCGCCCACCATGGAATTGACCAAACACGGCAAGACCCCACACCATTAATGTCAGCAATGATATAGTACCGTTAACCTTTGTTGGACGCTTTGACTTGCATGTCCTGCTCGTCATTGGGATCGTAAATACTGACAGTGTAATAATGACTGTAATGGTGATGAATGTAGGACACATTCAAAAAGACAACGCAACATGAACTCTCTGTACCGAATATGGCCACCAAGGACTGGACTTACACATCACGAGCCAACGCAATCGCAAGTTACAACTGTAACAGTCCACACCTTTTTTGCCTCGACTTTACCATGAGTAAGGAGACACCTCTGAACAGAACGGAGGGAAGCACTGTAGCCGCGGAACCAAATTAAATCGACGAAACTACGACCATTGAGTAGGCCTAAAATGTTCTTTGCTTGAGTACGGGTGCTTGTTTCTCGGCGCTATCAAACAACTTGCTGCACGAAACCATGGACTTACTGGTTGCAAGGAATACGGGCTGCTTGGACAGTAGCTTTGCCGGAAAGTGCCTAGACAAATGCAACGACGTGCGCAAACTCGAACGTGCTCATTGCGCAGGTTGCAAAATCACCTTTCATCAACTACTGAGGGTTTGCTTGCATCGGTTGTTACAATTTACCCTTCAACTAATTTATCGTTCGGTTACGGGAAAGTAACCTTTCTGCAAGGACTTCAAGTTGCACAGTTGAAATTGACTATTATTCTTACCTTTGATCGAGTAGTTGTCGAAGTCCACTTGGTTTTTGAGTTGTCTATTGATAGATCGTTGCGTGCTATGGACAATTAATATCCACACACAAAGTTTGAGATGATTTTGTAGTGATTTGATCATATTATGGTCTCTTGATTCCTCGATGATTCGACCACTGTCAGTACCTTAGCAGAATCGTTCGCGGAGTCTCTCCTGCTTATCTTCTTTTGCAGGGACTGCGATCGCAGTCTGTCCAATCTTGCATCAACATGATGAATGCGCTGAAGCAACCTCTTGTTTTGCTCTGTGAGTACAGCAATGTAATCACTCAGCTGCTCCATATAGGTTCAGGAGGCAGTCAACTCAGAATTGTTTGGGGTTGGCGTTCTTTTTTAGTAATTGCGTTTCCAACGCTGCAATTTCGTCAGGGTCAACATCAACCTTCTTAGCAACTTGGTGAATCCTGACAACGAAAGGGACTGTTGCTCGTAGTGCCATGAATATTGTGTTCGACCTTAGAACGAACATCACTATCAGCGACACTGCTTGACCAAATACGTTGTACTTAACAACTTTCATTTCCACGCATCCAGTAAATGAACTTTTCGTACCCGGTTGATTATTCATGAGTGGTTGAGTCAAAGTTGGCAATTATAGGGCACAAGATAAAACACATACTAACCCAAAGCCCAACAACACGAGCCACCTTATGGTGTTCATTGGATGTGTTGACGGCATTAGCAAATACTTTGTTTAACGTTGACATGCTCCGACTCCAGCACTCATAACATCCATTGCGACGACAAATCAGATGGACTGTTGGCATGCTGGGCACCACGACGGCTCAACAAGTGCGGCTTCAGCGCGGCAGCAACACCAGCAGGTATCGAAATACGATACAATTGCCGATTGACGTAGCTGTGTACACCGGGTAGAGCAGTAAGAGTCTTCTTCAGTGTTGGCACTTCAGACCACACGATTGATCTAGCAAGTCGAGCACGGTGTCGTAGGAACACAATCTGACTAAAAATGTCATTTCCCAATAGCAGAAGATCAAGCAAGTACGTATTGGACTTAGTTTGCATGGCCAAGGCGACAGCAATAGTGGTGAGAGGGTAATCATGAAAGTTGAGGGAATTAAATCCTCGTGGAAGAGTTA